GCTAGGCTGTGGTGTCACCACCGCCTCTGACCGCTGAGAGAAGTGGATCCACGCCTGCCAGTCTGATCTACAGCTGGGATTTTACAAACATATTTAAATGTGATGAATATAATGGTACAAATAAGATTCAGATACGATTATGAAAGATAACTGCGACTCTTTTCACAGTTACTATAAATATTACATCTGCGTGGAACTTTTGATTGAGTCTGAAAATGTTCAATAAACAGAAGTCTGGAGGAAGGAAGTGCAGACAGAGGCCTAAAGACAAAGTATGCTCTTTTCATATTTTTACCTTTGTAATTATTTTAACTTTCTATAAATGTCCTGCTTTTATAAAATCTGCAGCGTCAGCCTGTGAAGAGTGAAAAAGAAACTGTGTCCTATTGCTTTCTTTAATGCTAAACATAGAGTTAAAGCTAATTATGTCTACGAGGGAGAGGCCTGAAGAATGGGTGAGGGTCTGGTTTCCATTAAGGCCACATGTTGCAGATTTAGGGCATGAGGGGAGGCGGGGGAGGTGGGAAAAATGCAGAAGGGGGAGTTATAAAAAATGATGGCGGTGAGTAAAGAGTATAAGGGAAATGAGAGGGAAGGAGATGAGGAGAGGAGGAAAAAGGAGAGGGAGGGCTCTGTCAGTGTTTCCTCAGGTTTCTGCATAAAAGGACGAGCGAGGGAAGGAAGGAAGGAGGAAGGGAGGTTAGAAGGATTTAGAGGAGGAGCAATGCTGGCGTTGTGCCTCCTGACCTACATTGGGCCACTCGAGTCCGCTCTGTTTTCACAGGCTGCTTTTTCTCTGCTCACTTTTCTTTCTTTCAGTCATTTATTCCCCAGTGTGTTCATTTTCTCCTCCACTCTCCTGGAAAGTCAGCTCAAGCATAAACAAGATAATGAATCCACAGAAGCATCTGCAGGATGGGATCTCGTCTTATTGTCTTTCCCGGCTCATCGATCAGCATTTTAAACTTGTTAACCTTTGCATCGAGTTTCGTTGTGACTTGTTTTCCCTCCTGTGAATACTGCAGGGGCGTCTTTTTTTTTTT